ACTGAGTGAGTGGAAAAAGGAATATATTTATACATGTTTTTCATGAAATATAATTGGACTTTTAGAGGTATCGGAAGTCAATGAGACAAATGCATCCTACTGAAGTAGTCATTTCTTACTGAATAGAATTTTTGTATGCAGCCGGAAGAAAGTTCATTCTAAAGCCGGCATCCAGAGGTACCTGAATAATTATAGAATTATATTGCGGGTTGATTAGTTGTACAACCCTACTTATTTGATTTTGATCGAAAAAAACGCTTTTCGTAGTCTCAGTTGACATGTCATGAGTTAGCCCACCTACTGTACATAGTACGTTTAGGGAGCTAAGGGCCACTGGCTACTAACTGAAACTAACAAAATTCAACGAATCTTACCGGCCGCTCCTAGATTTGCAGTAGATAATGGTAGTAGTTTCCGGGAAGAAATAGAGCAGACTCTGGGGAACAGTAAAATAGATTAAAACTTAGAAAGGACACAGTGGTGTAAAACCCAATGAAACCATACTGCAGTTTATAGACAAATTGTGTACATGATGAAGAACATTATTTTCAACCTCTCCTGGCAATAGTCGTCTGACTACGCAAATTAAGCAGACACATCACGGGCTTTTGGGAGTATACATTCAGTTGTTTTTTCGATGTAGTCACTGGAAACGGTTTTCGATTTTCTTTGCAAGGTGCCAATATTTCAACAATAATTCGCGTGAAACGCTGTGTGCTGCAGCACCTGAACCTACCGTGTTATTGCGCCAAGGAAAAAATCGCGCTCCATAAAATCTTAGACATCACATTTGTTTTTCTCAGGCACTGTCACCCCATCCTTCGCAGTCTGCCTCTGCGTGGCCTCTAAATTGTTGATGCAGAAGGGAGACGGTGGTTGCAGTCAAAGGTGTGTAGGCGGAGTAGCAAAAAAAACATTTAACTTAAAGCCCTGCGGAAAGTGCAAACTGATCCGCTTGATTAGTTGGTTGTGCCGAGCCTTGGGTAAGCTTCCCGTCAGAAGCTACGGAAGGCAGGAAGCTGATGGAGTGCTAGCAAGCCGCCGGACTTAAAGTATGCCACATCCTTTAATGCAAAGGCATCCATATATGGTGCGTCCTCTGCAACTACAAAGTCTTAAGCCGTCCACTCAGCTATTGTCATATGAAATACTTACGGATAGTCGTTCATATGTGGAGGAAAACATATACTTACAAATGTGCTGTTGAGTACGAGATTAACCTTATCACCTTTACGTTTTTCGCCTCAAATTCCGCTGCCGAGTCTTTTTAAAAAACTCTCTTCAGAAAGCTTTTATTTTGATTCCGGGTAACTTACGGGACTACCTAGTCAAAAACGTTGAGTGTTACGGTACAAACAAAAGGATCCACATCTGGAGCCCACGTGAACACAACACAATGTTCTCAGGTGAAGGGCGACAGAACAAGCGAAAAGAAAGATTTGAAAGACTTTAAAGCAATAATGGAAATAGGAAAGGATGCAAAACTTATGACAGCCTGTGGTAATAGTCAATAGAAACTTGATTGATTTGTGCTCCAATTATTCTCCAAATCATCCACTGGTGCTGGCCACCAATCAAGAAGGATCGACAATGTGTATAGACCGAAGTTGGCTTCTGCAATATTATTCATTCCTTTGAGCATAAAATGAGCAACACTGCCAAGTGAGTGATCGTCGGCAAACAGTGACATCGAAACCTGCCTTCTCTTTATCGTTGCAATATTCCTTTACGCCCACGACCTTTTAGTCTTTTTGAAACTGCGCTTTTGGAGGAAATCGGGTACAACAAGATATGTGAGGCAGTATTGTGCGTCTTTAATCGTTAGGCTTCCTAGGCGAAGATTTTAGAAAATCGTGAACTTAGTTTCATTGTCAGATAACAAGTTTAGCAGCCCAGATTTATTTTCCGACCTACAAATCACCAGTTATTTGTTTAAATCCTGAAATAGCATTTATGGAATTTTATAAGTAATAATTCAACCTAATATTCAAATGCTCTAAATGCGAGTAATCTGCACAATGTGGTATATATTTGGTCTTATAAGCATGATTTTTCGAATCGCAGTATTTTAAAAATCCCATCCAAACTTCAAACATATTTTGTCTCAATGACTCGGAGCTGAACCAGAGAACACCCGGTATCCCTTTAACTTCCTTCGAACTAAGATCTCAGACAGCCCTTCGACTAAAAACGAACAAAGTAAAATTTGGGACTATCATATGAAGCTGGATGTTATATTGGAAAGTTTAACCTCTATGCTCTTGGAAGTTTCAACGATTTTATGTCTCACTATTGCCCACTCTTCTCCACTATTGATGTCTGCGCAAACCTTTTATGCACGCGTGCGGAGTTGCTGCTAAAAATATGTATTGATCCTCGTCAATCTAAAACCTGGCGGCCCTCTGAAGAACTCTAAGTATCTTCGAGCTCGACTCGCGTTAGGCGACAGTATTGTATTATTTTACATTAAGGCAGTTTAATGTAAAGTGCACTGGCATTTTTGTCTTCCTCTCGCAAGTCTTTTTCGATGTATCGAAAAATTTCTTTCCTTAGCTGTTGTACACAAATGCCATACGGTGCCCTATTATAGGTTAGCGCAATTTCGTGTTCCACTAATTACCGTAAGGCTTCGGCGTTCTGTGAAAAGGGAAACACCGCGATACGGCACATCTAAATTACTTGTCTAAATAGCAATTTGACTTAATTTTGTGAGCTATGCTTGCTGACGTAATCCGTCACCGTAATTTTGGGTAGTTTATTTTGCTAATTGCCGTTCTGGATTACGTTTATGCATCTGTGGATGTCTATATATATGACCAGAGTAACCTATGTGGGAAAAATTTATCAAAAGCTTACTGCGCTTGAATACTACTTTTATTTTCTACGCAAATCACGTAGTGGTAGATATAAACGAAAATTCTATTTTTTTAAAAAAAATGGATTTAAAGGATTCACATTTCTTAGTCTGTGTGGCATTATGCAGTAAAAAGTAGTAAAAGCATGAACATTAATGTAGTTGATGAAACGTTCAAATTAATACCTGCCATTTGCGGACGCCGCACAAATAGACATGAAGAAAAAAGTTACCGAGTTGTCATATAAAATGTTAAGGGTATGGTAATATACTATATGCGACATGGTTTACGCTGGTACGTAATGAAAAACGGAACGAGTAGATCATTGACAATTTTAACAATATCACAGTATTTATAAGGTCACTCCACTATTCACTCGGACTTGTAGAGCGGGACAGAAAAGTAATCAAGTTTGGCCAAACACAGTATCTATGTTTAAAACCCAAACTTCAAAAAGATATTTCTATTCGTCGGTGGAATATTTTATTAAATCGGTTTCAAATGCCTAGCGTATTACAGAATTGAGTAAAAACGCACCCATCTCAGGTTTTCATTTTTTAATTTTATTAAATCGCCGTAAAAGCCTATCTTTGCGTGTTGCCGATTAGGTAAACTAAAAATGTAAAGTATTTGATATCATTTAAAGGACAATTTGCGTCTCACTGTCCTGAGGCGTCTCCCAAAACGACGTAATAATTCTGCAGAAGAATGTGTCTCTTGGGACACCTAAGTAGCTTGCTAATGGTAGCATTGCTCGTTATAAGCAGTTATTCGTAAACCTAGGCACTCTTAATGAGAAATGGCATGCATGATATTTGGCCGCAAACCACAGTATCGCGTCGTGGTTCGAATGTCAATGCCTAGATGCTGCGAACCACAGGCCCACATAAAAACCAATTCAAGTCGTATACCTATTAGCAGGGGCTAGCGTTTGCCAAATTCGGTATTTTATAAGCCCAACATTATTCATGTTTATTTCTCCATTGGGTTTCTAATGAGTAAAAAAGCTTTTTTCGCCATGTGCAACGACTTGACTTAGAGCCTCTGGCTTTGGACTGAATTAAGCCTTCGCTGGACCTTGACTGAATTCTGTCTACGACAGCTACAGTCGGAGTGCTAACTCACGAAATGTTACCCAGAAATGTGAAACGTGTTTTCTATTCGAAAAGATTACCTGAGCTGAATCTTGAAAGCAATCATCATACAGCATAATTCTACAAGAATTCAGTTACTTTGAGATGCTGGCTTCTGAACGAACTACGTTGTCGGCCGCATGCAATAGCCTCACTCGGTAAAAACTGAATACTGAAGTGGTATGCATTTTTTCATTGATTTTCAGTGCCCTTAAGAATTCAATTATCTTTCATGGTAAACGTACCCAGAATATTACGTCTTCTTAAGATGCTGTACTTGAAGAAAGAGCAAAATTTACTTTTGAAAAAAAGGTTCTAATTGTGGGATTTTTTAATGCCGTTAAATGCCAATTCATAAATCATGTCTCTTCATTTACAATTGTGACTTGTAAAGTTTGCGATTTGGCCCAAACACACCACTTACTTTTGTAATGATTAATTTTAAACCTTCGGAAATAGTTTTTTTGCGAAACGAAAACGCATTTCAGATATTCGGTTAACTCTTCATGAGTTAGCACACCTACTCTATATATACTGCCATTAGAGGTATGCTTGGCAGAATATTGCAAGAGGAATTTCCCTGGAATCTTGAAACTCTTGACTTTATGATTTTGGGGTATTATTTTGAAACGAACGAAGCACGCTGAATGGTTTAGCATTCCTAGCGTGCTTTAACTTTTATAATTATAGACAAGGCTCTCAACGCATGCGTTTACAGAGCGAAAATAATTTAGGCGTGATAGCAGGGCGTGTGAGTCGTTCAGATCCCTTGCTATTTCATGAGCGCTTTAGGATAAACGTATCCACATCACTTATGAAGAAGCGCAGCGTATTATTGAGACTTAGATATTAGCTGTTGTATATCACGTGCAAAAGAACGATCAGGGCAGTTATGATGCCATAGACTAAAACAATTGAACCAATAAGGGACATCGACGCTTGCGGGGCGTTAAAAGGAACTGCCGTATATATCTTCAGCCCTGTACTGTAGGGAGTGTTAATTGAACTCAAGATGTTCCGCTTCTTATACACTTTCGTCATAATCCACATTCTGTGTGGGTGCCCGAAAACTATAAGTATGTTTTGTAAACCTATCCCCTTATTGTTATATATCTATATTTTGTGATAATACGTTTTTCTGATTCGAGCCAACATTTTTTTAAAAACGTCCTATGCGATCGCCGAATGGTTATAACGTCCGGATTGACTTTGCGGTACATCATCATTTGAAAACAGAATATTTGAAAAACAAGTTATAAGAAATTCAAGCATTTACATAGGGCCAGTGCTATCCGCTCTGCAATTATTTTACATTTTGAGGATAAGATGGTGATTATTTTATCGTTTACACTTAATTGGCCATGCATCGGGTCCAAACATAGATTGATGTAAGCGAATGGCCTAACTGTAGGCGAGTGAATGTAATTGCGATATTATTGATGTTTACTTTAGATGTCGTCGCATCAAGCATCCAGTATAATCTTCAAATCATGCAGTAATGACTAATCGGTCCATAAAAAACAAAACCTCTTATTATTTGGCAACGGAAGTATTCGTTCTTTCCTTGTCTACATTACATAACATTCTCCCACTGCATAATTATGGTCAACTTGAACCACTACTAATATCCCGAAGGAATGCATAATACCTGTGACTTTTACTTATTCATAAGTTCTAAGAGTCTGACAAAAATCAGCTACACGTCGAAAGCGGCATAAATTTATTAGCCGGCTACCCCAGTTAATAATCAATAAAATCTAGTTAACCGAAAGCACCAATTTACTGAAAAATTGCGCTAAGGGGTCAAATGCCGCGATCTGCAGTATGCACGTTTGATAAGTAACAATAATTTATACTATTATTTCTTCCGTCATTGAGAGTAACTGAGTAAATAAAAGGACAAAGGTAGTAAAACTTGAAAAGCCACTGTAGCAGAAAGTAATTTGCTATGTGATTGTGTCTCTAGTCGACTGCTTGGCATTTTTTTTTCGTTTGTACATTACCAGTTACTTCCAACGCAAGGATAAAGTATAGTTCTGCAATTCTGCTTATTTGGAAACCAGCATGTATTCGTAGTTAGACGGCCTTATGATCATTTGCAGAGAAACGTACAAAAATGCCCAGGTTAACTACTCTGAATACCAACATTCCACATTGGATCCTAAAAAAAGCACAGCGTCTCTTTATTCCAGAGTAACGCGGGACGCACAATAAGAAACGTCATTCTCATTTGCATTTCATACTTCTTGTCAAAAAGTTCGTTATTTGCATCTAAGGATGGTAGCAGTTAAAACCTTTTTAACGATTAAATTAATATTTTTCTTTAAACTAGCACTAGTCCATAATAACTCAAGCGAGACGGATGCTAGAACTACGAATTCGACCTTCCTTCGCGCCTCCTGGAAATCATTTCACATGCTTGGCAAGATTTCTCTCAGTACGCAGTCCGTGGACACTGTTTATACTGGGCTCGTTTCGGCAGATGCCTCAAGCCTTGTTCAACCCCGCGATAACGCCAGATCAGTAAGCAGCAAAACAGGTAAATTCCGTTTTCGACTTGCAGATATTTTCATGCACACGAATTCGGGCATTGCCAAATGGTTAAGGCGTTCGTATAGATTGTTGATGCGCAGATGATGGTTCAAACTGGACGGTGTCTCAAATACTCGAACAAAAAATAATTCAGACAAAACAAGTTAAGCACATAGCTAGCTTTTAGAGGACATTGTGCAATTAATGGCTATTCATAAACTAATAACTGCTGTTTAGTGGAGACACCGATTGCACATGTTCCATTTTGTAGGATTTCAGGGACTTCCTTCGATCTCGCGCGTCGTAGTATAATTTTGCACTTATCTAGATTCGCTACACATTACTCAATCAAAGATTTTACCAACTAAGTTACCATCACCTCCAACCGCGTACGATCCATTTTTATTTTTTCTGTAAATCATTAAGATACGAGTAACTTCACTGCAATAACAGCAAAAGTAGGTTGCTGCGCAGGCTGGGAACCAAAGTTCCGTCAAATTAAGATTAATTTTTTTAAAATTAACTCGAAACAAGGTCATTGTTTCTTGCTTGGAAATGATCAAATGTAACCAATCATTTCCAAAATGGTCTTCCCTACGCCTATGAATTTTAAGTACACTAAACAAATGTTCTTTTTTTACTGCCCTTCCATCTGACGTTTTACTGAACGTAGACATGGCCCGATGTTTATTTTGCGAATATATTACTGACTTCGATTATAAACCGATTTTTATTTTTAGTTGAATTACGCGTTGTTTCAGGGTCTAATTAACATACACTTTACCATGACTACGTCTACCACATTTATAGCTGAAGGACCGCTTAAAAAATAATTCAGCAGAAAATATACCCATTGCTGAAACTTACTTAGGTCTGAGGAGTGCATGCCAACATAGAGTTAGCGGTAGGCCAACGTCAAGTGTTACCTATGACGCCGCTTCTTTTTATTACCCGCTTGCGGTCTCTTGTACTTTTTTCAGAAAGCCCTCTGACAAAATATGAGCGTGTTATGAAATTTTGCGAAACTAGTGTTTACGATGGCATGATGCGGCTGATACTCTGCCTTTAGCAAAATCTCACGTAGTAATTGATGTCTACAAGAAACCACACCACCTGGTCGCTATGATCTACGGAAATCACGATTTTTACTTTGTTAGCAAAATTCCGCCAAATATGAAGTACACTAGCACTATGTATACTGGCCGCGTTTCGGCATCTGCCTCAGTCTATATTCAACCACGCACAACGCCATAGCATTAATCAGCAAAATATAAATTCGCGTTTCAATTGTGTGGGTGGTACTATTAGCACAATTCCTGGAACTGCCAAACGTTTTGGTTGGCAGTATCGACCGCCGGTCACGCAGGTAATGGTTCAAAATGAATGGCACTGTCCTTTCAACTGAAAAACGTATATAGAAGAGAAAACAGGTCAGATAAATAAATAGCTTCTTAAGGGCAATGTACAGCTAACGTCCACCTTCGAACGAATGATTGCTGCGGGGGGATGCGGCGGTTACATATGTCCCGCGTCATATGATTGCGTCTTTTTTGTCCATCAGACTCATCTGAACATAATTTTATGATTCTATATGTCCTATGCACTGCTAAGTTGAATTATCTACGTAGTTGGTTGTAGCCAACTTCAACTACGCATGACACATTTTCACATTTTTTTGAAAATGGTTGAGGTATACGTAACGTCACTGTACTATCTCTTAGGTCCGCCAATAGATCGAGGTCCTGTTAGGCAACCAAAAGTTCGGTCAATATGAATTGAATTATTTTTAATTAGCAGTAAACAATGTAACAGGCCCTCGTCATGCGAGTGACCAAGTCTGATGCTAACAAATTTTAATTGAATCAAGCGAATTTGATTTTCGCTGAACATTCGTCTGACGTTTCGGTGAACGGAAAATAGCCCAATGTCAATTTTGCGAATATTTCCCTGATTTACAATATACCTTATTTTTGATTATGTGTAAAACGGCACATTTCTTAAATTTCTGATTGACATGCACTCAATTTCAATTATTTTCATCACATGTAGGCTTGAAATGACGACAGAAAGTAATTTATTAGGCAAAATAGTAATTTAAGAGTTGCGAAAATTCCCATTATAAAATTCAAAAGGCAATTTGGCAAGCACACGTATGCTTTCCATAAATTTTCTTCAAGCCTGTACATTTATATGGCTGTTGAAGTAATGAATTAAAAGATACGGGCAAGTAGATAATTAAGCAGTAGCTCGGGTTTGGAGAGGGGAGGGGAGTGGGAGAGTATAACACCACAGTTCCAGTCAGCGCCCGGGAGAAGGTTGGTCCCGGCGAAGATAATTACATGCGGGTGGTTGGTTTGGTGGCTTTGTACCATGGTAACTGCGGGACATGTACAAAGTTCTTCTGTGCGCATAGGACCGGTCGGCGTTGCCTGCTTGCAGCCGCCTCTGCCGTAGCCAACAAGCGCCGCCCAGGCAGTTTTGGATAGCTTTATGGGACCTTGTAAATGACTCTGAAGTCCTCTCTGGCGTCTACTCGGTGGTCTGTGTGTATCATTTGCGCGATGATCCGCCTGTTGGTGTTCTTTATTTGTTTCTTTTCTAACCATACTGGAAGATGTTGTTTTACTCTTTTGGATAAACACCGGCTCATCCGAGCAACATATTCTGCCCTACACGGAGCAGGTGAATGAGTAGATGCACACAGAGGTGGTTTGAGCTGGTAGTTTGTCCTTGCGTTCTCCGTATAGGATGGGATTAGTAGAGAACAATACACGGGTGTCAGCTGCTGGAAAGGTCTGTGAGACAGCTTGGGTAAGGCGTCTTCTTTAAAACTCACTTTGTGCATTCCCTTGGAATGGGACCTTGATAAAAAGCCTTTTCTTTCTTGCCGTCAGTATCGGGGGCTTTTGCGGTCTTTCGGCTATGTTCTTAGCAATGAATCGATTAGGATACCCATTTTGGCGAAAAAGGCTTTCGATTATCTTCCGCACTTTCTCAACGCTATCAGCTTAGCAGCTTCTTCTTACTCCTTCTGTCAAGCAGCGGACTAAATTATGTTTAACGCTTAGCAGTACGAAACTCTCAAAATGGGTGTATTGTCCGGATCACGTTTTCTTACGATAGACGCTGCGTCGAATGCTGCCGTCAGGTCTTATACTCAGAAGCACATCCAGAAAGGGAAGTGAACCGGACCGTTCTTCTTCCATAGTGAATTTTATTGATGGGTGCGCCTGATTTATGTCATCCACTGGAGTTGAGATGTCACTTAGTTTCGGTGTGATCGCGAATATATCATCCATGTACCACCCATAGTATCTTAAGCCGTTGATCTGGTGACGTAGCTGGAAAGCTTCTAACTTTCCCATGAATATATTTGCCAAAAGCGGGCCAAGGGGCGTGCCCATTGCTACGCCGTCCATCTGCCTATATAGATTGTTGTCGAATAGGAACTGCGCGTTCAAGGTACACCTTAATTACAATTCCTTGAGGGCATTCACTGGCATTCCTATATCATGCTGATTGTCGGTAATGTAATCGCAAAGGTAGTTGACCGTTTCTGTTACCGGTACGTTCGTTAAAAGGGACGAGGCATCCAATGAAAACATGACCATTTCGTTCAGATCGAAGTCTTTCAAGCCGTTAATGAATTCAAAAGTATCTCGATAGCTATGTGGCGCTAGTTGATACTGCAGAGGCTTAAGTTTCTCCGCCAGCCACTTCGCTATTGCATGGTACGGCGAGTTCCGCATATCGAGGATTGAACGCACGGGTACGCCATCTTTGTGGATCTTCGGCAAACAGTATATTAGAGGTATCTGCGTACCGACGGGTCGGAAGCGCTCTACGTCGTGTTCGCTTATGCAACCATCGGCCTGAATTCTTTTTAAGCAGTCAGTCAGTTGTGCTTTAATCTCATCTGTACAGTCCATCTCCTTCTCTGTCTTTCGAAACTTTTCCTGATCCGACAGAATTGACTGTATTTTCGTAATATAGTCTCCCCTGTCCATCAAAACGACGCCGGTTTCCTTATCTGGCCTAGTAATCAGAGCGTCGCTGTTCTGCCGTAGCTGCTTTAACTTCTCAATTTGTGACTTCGTCAGCAAGCCCCTATATGTCTGACTACTGTTCAGGTATTAATAAGAACAATTGACTTACGTAGACTTCAGATGTTGTACGCGCTCTGTCAAAACTGGCTGAAGGTCATGTGTTTGATTCAAGAGGTTCTCAAATTGTGCCTCTAACTCTAGCTGGTTGGGTTTCTGGCGAGGACAGCAAAACTTAGGACCCAATGATAAGGCTCCAACCGATGTTTTGTCGAGAAATATGGACGAATAACTGTATACGTACCGACTTGAATCTTCAGGAATCTTAGATTGTGGTTTGCCCTCATGAATACTCCGAAGAAGGGAAGCTCTCTTAATTTCACCACGTTTGTCCGAAATGGACTGCACATAATTCTCGAATTCCTGTCGGTCGTCTTCGCCAAGTTGATCGAGTATGGCTGCCCGTTGATACACGTGACGCCTCAGCTATTCCACCTTTACACGCGTGCTCTCTAATTCATTTTCGGCGTATCTTCTCAAGTTATCACAGGTTCATTACTTCAAAGCCATATAAATGTACAGGCCTGAAGAGAATTTATCGAAAGCAGATGTGTGCTCGTCAAATTGTCCTTTGATAATAGTAACTGTCAAATTTTTATTCGAATGTCTGTAGACGGCATGGCTGTCGGAAATTTGCAGTTAAACAAGGTCCACTTTTGACTTTGACTGTTATTTAAATCACCTCGTACGATCGCGCTTTACCTTCAGAATATCGTCTGGTAAATTCTAATTGCTCAGTAATAGTTTTTTGGATCAATTTAATCGACGAGACAGTGAGGTCCTTAGTGTAGCTGTGAACATTGCCCTCATAATATATGATTGTAAAAAAGCGTCAAAAAGTTTGGAAATCATGGTTCACTAATTAGCCAGAAGTTTCGTTAGTTTTAATGCAAAAATGCTCGGTGCTTCGTCTGAGACTGTAGTGAACGTAACTGTTCTTTGACTTGCGTATACACGTAATATATGAAGCTAGTTCATTTATTTAATGGACTTGCATATTTTCTTTATATGTTTACAAGTAGGAAAATATTATTTAAATATGTAGCTCATGAGTTAATTTACGAAATTGCCACCAAAACACGAGGGATAACTAACTCTGAACATTTGAATTAGATTTATTATGGTCTGTGTTCTGTCTACGGCCAGATTATTAATTTAGACCCGTTAATCCACGCTGATTTGAAACCTTTGAATTAGTAGTGCGGATTACATCACTTTTCGAGGAACCATCGCCCTAATCTCGTCATTTAAATGGATATGGCCATGAGGTAAATAGTCTACTAACCAGAACTGGATGTAATTTATTTGGAAGTCCACTTCTATTAGCTATTTGGCAGGAAATAACTGTAGTATACGTGGGTTAAATTTGCCTAAACCGATGAAGAATATTTTGATCTAGGGTATAGCAATAGCCTCGCACATGACATAAATGTCTCATTCGGATTACTTTCAGCGGTGGCACAATTCTTCACCGAACTCGTGATCTCAATGCTGATAACGCTCCCATTTGGTGCTGTTATCCTTGTAAGTTTGTAATTCGTCTGTTTCGAATTTAATAAATGCATAATAACTTAAATGTCATACAAACGTCAGCGATGCTTTAGGCATCTGCTGGTTCCATGAGTCAACCTTAACTCGTTTTTTCATTGCCCTTTTACGTTCATTTTCAACCATCGGGAGAATTTAGGTGTTTCGAGGCTTTACAATTAGATTATGTGCTCTCTCGCCAGAGTATGCCAGCATTGTCTGTGCCCATCCAAACCATAGCACTCCATTATAACTGTGTTCTGTCTTTCAGACATTTGCAACGTCGTTTAATGCGGATCGTACTTCACGACAGCAGCATTTTACATCTTTTATTACGGAATTGGAACACCTGGCTAAATTTGCATTTCGTCTAAAGTAGGGGATTTTAAATACATACATTGGTTACATCTATTTGGGGTCGACAATGGACGATTAAGCATTGCACAACTAGAAACACATTTCGTTGTCATTAATCATTATCTACATTGATGACTTTGTCAAGGGCTTTCAAGAAGATTCAATGCACCGTAACGAACTCCAGGCAGCATATATTATTTTGATAAAACAGGTTTTATTCCACCGATTCTTCAGGCACAAAAATTGTGCTCACAATATTTTGGCCTCAGAAATTTTTTAGGACATGTATGCCACTGCGCGAGAGCCTAAGGTTTTGCCTTTTAGTAGTCACTTTTTTCACCATAACTAAAACCTACACTTGCAAACCGGACAGTGTAGTGACGCTAGAAGACATGGCAAATAGCAGACTGACTGTCCACCGCTGCCTCACGAAAAGGCTCCAACAGAGGAACGGGCACGTCAACTTGAGTACTGGAATGCAGTCATGAACTTCATTTAATTCGCTTCATCTGCCCAAAGTGTCAAGACGACTGGAGGTGCGATTTGGCCCCTTTCCATTACGACCTGATAGTGTCAGCCACGTCTGGAATAACCAGTTGTTTTTAATTGGTTCTTATGCGATAGTTATATTTCAACTTCATCTTCTGATGTAATATCTATGGACATAATCTGCAAGACAAACTACTTCCAACTATTCCTAACAGCGTACATAAGTGCGCACATATCTATTATGTTTGGCTATACGCCTAAAGTCAGCCAGTCACCTTTGGAGTTCCACGTTTATTTTCTGTTTCTTTACAGTTCCCAACAACTTGGCTTTTGGTCCACTTCATTCACCAACAATTGGAAATCAAACCGAGCTTGACAAATAGTAAAAAACCTCTGATCGCTGCAGACTGAATTTGCTTAATTCTGTCAAAGTGTTCCCTGTTTGTAAAAAAATTAAAATAAATTATTTCTGTGATATTTTTTCATTATGAATAACAAAATAATTTTACTTGGCCATCTCTCAACATTTAGTATCTGAAAAACACCTGACTGCAAAATTCTAAGGGTAAATATATGGCTTATGTGCGTACATGAACTGACTTACATTCAATTGTTATAAACCGTCGCAGAGAATACGCCGAATAACCCGTTTGAGCATAAGTCCCTCCAAAGCCGCGAATCTCACTTTGTTGCTAAATGTGTTCGCATGTACAAAACCCAAATCACACATCCTGAGTACTTCTAAATGTGAAAGTCTGTCAGTGGGCATTGAATTGGCCTTACCGTTTTTTACTGCATGCAGTTAAATTTGAATAGCTTAATTTCCCATTGGGTAGTAGAATTAAGGAACGACCCTAAATGAGTTAAACTGGTTAAATTCATGCCACTTATTTACACGCACATTGTTACCACTCAAATAAGCACGGCAGTCATTAAAGCACAACGTGTCACAGTAAAGAATCTTCCTATGAATTGGCACAAATATTTTACTTAGACCATCTTCAATCAGATCAGCATTAAAAGATACCTGTGCTAACTCCGGAAATGCCGAGGTCAAAATAAGAGTGGAAAATTTAGCGTATTGCTTGTGTTGTTATTTGTGTTTATTTAGTTGAAATAAGGATGGAAAGGCCATTTGTTGAAGGAAAGTTTGATACGGATCTGTATATTAAATAGAAAACGGGCCGCATTTCGGCGAAATCGGAGGATTCCTGATATTCAAGCAGTTTCCTACGCTATTAGTGCTTTCGGATCGAAATTCTTTGTGTAACCTTATTAATTTGTTTAAGACAATTAATAAAAGGACGACATTTTTCAATAAACTTTCGAACAAAAAGAAAAAAATTAAATTTCAATATCTAGAAAATCAGGGAAATGCAAATAAATTATTTCTTATTGTGTTCAGGAAGTAACGTGCGATTTTTCATCTAAAAATTCTATTTTACAAATTCGTAAAGTTTTATGTTTCAAAATAGCGAAATACAAAAGTTTATCAGTGTGATTGTTTTACCAGACTGAAAATGCGTGTCGTAAACGAATATATATTGAGTTCGCGCGACATGCCGTCACTTTTCTTTACCACGATAAACGATACCTATGTCTAAACAATACTTATCCGAAGTTGACTTCCAGCGCATTCGAAAATTAGCGGCGGAGGGAATCCCGCGTGAGTCGTTAGCTAGTATTTTCAATATTAGCAAGGTCACTCTGTGGCGCATTATTAACGATAAAACTGTTCCTAGAAATAAGATAGGGGGACCCAAACGGTCCACAAGTAAGCAAGACAACGATTTTATTCGTCGTACGCTAAAAAAGTTTCATTACATGCCCATTGAGACCATTCAGCGGGAACATCTGCCGATGTTTTCTATGAACATCATTAGAAAAAGGATGAAGGAATTTAAAGTGCAGCGGAGGAAGGCCATGATTAAGCCATATTTAAGTAGAAAACTAATGAGAGAACGGCTTTTATTTGCTAAGAATTATATTGATTACAGATCTTCATTTTGGAAGAGCATTTTCTTCTGCGATGAGGTTCTATTTTTAGACAAGCCTACGAAATCGCTCCAAACCGTCATATGTGGAAAAAACTTTCCAAGAGAACACACTACACCGACGGCAACATTCAAGAACTGTCGACGGATGATGGTTTGGATGGCGATTAAATTCGGTGAGCGGCCTGTCTGGCGGTCAACATCCGACACCATCAACAGCAGGGTTTTTATTGCAATTGTCAAGGATGCTTTCGGCTACAACGGCATAAGTCGGCGCCGAATGGATACTGTTATGTTGCAGGACAATGCACCTGTCCACCGCTCTAAAGAGGTACGAATTTGATGCCGCTTGCAAATATAATCTAACATTTTAGACAACAACCACCCTCTCCGCCATCGGCCTCCAATCCATTTTCATCCCGGCCAGCAGTCCCAATTCGAATCCTATCGAAAATCTTTTTTGAATAAACAAAAGAAACTGGCACAAAGCTAAGAAGACTCTTTCAATGCAGGAAAAATTGGATTTCATACTCAATAATTAGATTTCACAATCCACCATAGATAACCTCGTCATGTCTATGTCTGACAGACTTTCTGCCGTTATTAATTCAAATAGACAATCAACAAAGTACTGATTTTTTGTATCTGTTTCAGTCCTTAATTATTTTGCATTTTTGCGCCCTTCTCCTTTATACGCCCTCATAGGTAGCCTTTATTAACTTGGTTGGAATATAGGCGTTTCTCAAAAATGTGACTTTTATCGAAAATTATTTATTTTTATCTCAGTAAATAATATTTTCTTAGCCAAACTTTGCTTTATTTCTTTGACACATCTTTTATTTTCCGCTGTCAGACTTTGCGAGCCGTTGTGTTTACCAATTCTGCGTTTAAGTCGTTACCCTGTGTTAATTCATGACATTTCATGAGTTAGCACAGGTCCTGTATTTGGTGGGACATCTAAGCTTCAAGTCGTGCTTCAGAAACCAATATTGCGTGTGAGCAGACCTGTAGACGTCTGTTTAATCCCAGAATAGCCTTCTGGCCTGCTGAACGGTGAAATCGCTAATGCAGAGGGTTGCCATGACAGATTTTACGCAAGCAGAGGGTTAGGATTGATTTTTTCATTCACTGAGTCCCTCATAGGTTGTAGGCCATTTAAAAGATTTGTCACAAATGGTCAGTGAAAACAAAGTTGGAAACAGTTTATAGGCGGTAATTAATCAGCGACACATCATCTAAATTTGGACGTTTGAATCGCCTATGAGCAGTAAACTTTTGAGCATCGTCAAGAGAAAGATAACGGCTACACGGCAACAGCTTGAATGTATGCATGTGAGGACACCATTTTAGCGCATCAGCCTACGAACGTTAGGTAATAGAATATAAAATATAGAAATATTTTTTTAAAAAAATACTTCATTTACTTGAGTGACAAAGAAAAAAGGGCTTAGGGAAGCGCGCTGCAATAACGCGAACCACTAAATTAAAAAAGTAACGGATTTTCCTGAGTGGCAGACTGGTTTAACCCTATCAACAATCGATGATGAGTGATTTCGGGAAAAGCTACACATCTAGGTTACTGAAACGGCACCAAGGATAGCTCATTTACAAAGACGTCAATACACTAGACAGGGCAAGAGTATGACATTTGAGATGGCAAATCTATCATGTATGAGTTGACCAGACCTGGTCATTTGCAGAAATAAGTGATTTTTTCTACAGATCTTTCGGTACTTTGTAGGCGTGCTTCCCGTCTTAGTCAAAAATACTAAAAGGTGCTCAAGAAGATCGATTTCTCTCTGCCCTCATAATTTGAACTTCATTTTCTTATATGACAATATATGCAGCGGTAGAATGCAAGCGGGAACATAAGCCGATGCAGATTGGGACCACATCACATGGTGGTCGACAGGAGCGTAAAACAGGAACAACACGGGACAAGTGCGCTAGCTGGTTTTTTAGCAGGTTGCTCGAGTAGCACCATGTCATCTATGATGCACGATATTTGCTATTGAAGAAATGGATTTCAGAGACGTTTACTGTCCTGGCAGTCGTGACAGTGTGTGGGCTGGAGATTTGTAGGAAACAAGTGCGGAAGCAAATACTTGCTTTTGTTGTTGCCTGCCTACCGGCTCATTCTCGGAGTCTCTAGTGCGATTTGGAAGTTGTTCAGGAGGCCATTTGCGCACCTGAAAACTGCCTAAGGCAAAGCTCTTATAATGCTCACTTAAAAGACTGAGTTTAAAAATCAGCACTCAAGCCCGCGTCTTCAGCAAATATACACGGCTTAATGGGGAGAAAACCATAACTCAACTTAATGATTTCAAAGTACCCTGTTTCTTAAAGAACAAGAAATCTAAGTTATACGAATTACATGACTTATAAATGGTTCGGGGACAATTAACATCGATCGTTCCACGCCACTCGCATGACGAGGCGTGCTATGGCGTGGTCGTCGTGACAAAGAATATGACCGACTTAGACCAGTGGGCACGGCCATACCCAGAATGTACGGCCTTCCAAAAATTCACAAACACGGACTACCCCTAGGTCCGATCCAGGATATGAGGAATTTGCCCTATCACACCATAGCAAAGTGGTTAGTCGAAAAGCTTAAACCGCTGCAAAGTCATTTGTATCCCCTAAGTCTGAAGGACACCTTCGAGTTTGTCGAGGCGATAAAGGATATTAAGGTTGATGGACGGAGGATGCTATCTTTAGACGTAGCATCATTGTTTACTAATGTACCTGTAGCCGAAACAATAAACTACCTTTGTGACGTTATCCGCGACACGAACTACCCGTTAGGCATGCCATTGGAGAGGTTAAAAAAACTACTGACACGATGCACGCAAAACGTCCAGTTTCTCTGCAATGGTCAATTTTACAGGCAAATAGACGGCGTAGCGATGGGCTCACCGCTCGGCCCATTCCTCGCAAATGTCTTCATGGGCAAAGTCGAGATGACAAGTTTACAAGATACCATTAATGACCTCAGCTTCTACGGTCGGTACGTGGACGATATTTTCTGCCTAACGGATGATACCACCGACACAGGCGTCCTGATTCACAAATTCAACAATTCACACACCTCGCTAACGTTATTTGCAGAGTTTGAGGCAAACAATGAAATCGCGTTCCTCGACGTTCTTCTGCACAGACAAGAAGATGGGTCTATCCAACGTAGAGTATTCCGAAAGAAGACCTGGACGGGACAATACATTAACTTTCACAGTTTTGTTTCGCTTAATATTAAACGCAACTTGGTCCAGGGATTGGCAGCTAGAGTGCGACGTATCTGCTCTCCTGAGACTGTGGAGGCAGAACTCCAGCAGCTGCGGGATACACTCCACGAAAACGGATACCCAGAAAGATTTATCCTTCGAAATATTGGGGAGCGCAACAGCCAACATTTCA